ATCCGGTGTTGGTGCAGCTATAGCAGACCAAGGTAGCATCGCTAGGCATGAGCCAAGTAGCATTGAGTGAAGGGATGTCCGCATGTTGAGTATTAGGGGTGAAGAAGCGTAGGTAAGAGAGGTATCGCGAAATAGTTGATTGTTTATTTCTGTAGAGTGTGATCAATTAACATGACTGCATGACGGTCAATGAAGGTATTTATACAACTTTCTCATTGAGCTCATGGCAAATTGAATCGCCGTCTCCTATATGGTTTCGGCACTCGCGAGAAAGATCTTTCCTTTAATTTGACGTCAAGTTTGATGTTCAAGGTGACGACTTGACTTCCTATTGTCACTTCTTAGAGTTGATTGGATTACGCTCAAGGGTCAACGGTCTAGGAGCTGTCAAGACTAGCTGTAAAAGGTTGTATTCTCGAGCTCGAGGCCAGGAAGCTGGTTAACCTCGAGAAATGGTACTATTCGGGAATGGTTTCAGGACAATTTCAGCTTTAGCTGCAAGCCTAGAGTGCTAAGCCTTGCCAAGCTAGCGGGATGAACGCTGATCTACTTCGCCCATCTCGGTCGGCTCATTCAACTAGGGCTTATTTTCCGGCAAGCCGGCACACATGACGCAGGCAGACGGCGAAGTCGCGGTTCGGCCTCGGCCAAAGTTGCGGCACAGTGTGTCAACAAGGGAGAGGTTAATTGTGACAAACATGGGCGGCAGTGATTTTGGCCGCTGCCCATCTACCCCACTATCGAGTGACTTGCGTGATTGCCCACTGAGTCCAATGCCTTCTCGCGAGCTTCGCCTTGAACGCTTGCTTGATCTGTTCCTGCAACTCACGAACAATAAGACGGGAGCACTATCTCTCTGCAGGTTTATCGTCTTGCTTCACAATGAGACCTGATCACCTCCATCATGCTGGCAAATCCATGCTTGCAAATCGAGTTCTTGTCGCTGGCTCAGAATAGTGGAAGAGAGTCCAAGTTTATGAGCATTCAGTTTCGCCCACTTCACGGGCCAGTATCCCTTGAAGGAAACAAAGTGGGTTGAATCACGCAAAAGACCAGAGATCCCCGGTTTTTCTCCAAGAATACGGGGAGAAAAAAACGTTGATTGGCAAGAAACTGAGATGATCCCTGGCTAGATATTACTCCTCACTTTCTTGACCCCATTCAGGTTGTCACCCACTTGGTACCCGGTGGGATACGGGATTTCGTTGGCTGCCTTTGTCAGCTATTGCGATCTACACAGAGTGACAACACCTTTCACGAAAATGAGGTGGCCTCGGAAGTAGTGTCGGCCCCCCCACCACCGGATCAGATAAGATGCATCAGATTAGATAAACTGGATCTGATTCGAGGAGGTGCATCATGTACGAAGAGTTTTCAGTCTTGGCATTACGCTCAATTAACCGTAATTAGCTAGGGGCGGGCAGCATGAAATAGCTCGACCTTCCCCCAGTGGACGGTGATGGGCTGTTCCGCGCACCCATCCAATCCACCCCGTCCTCCGGATGCCACACTACGCAGTACATGTGGTGTCTCTCGCGGGCCGTCCTGAGTGCTGAAGATTTGCTGAAGAGAGAAAATCTGCGGATCCCATTGCGACATTCCGTCATGGTGTACGGATGGCCTACCATACTCCGTACAAGCAAGAAAAAAAATAGGTTTACAAGGGTGGTCAGCAATATATACCGGCCGTTCCCAGCCCTCACAAAAATGGCGCACATCTTCGCGCGAGCGAACGTCTGAAAAGTCTCGGTGGTTTTGTTTTCTTCTCTTTTGAAAACTACGCTCCGGTGTTCCTCCTCCTCACGATCTAGAGGCTAGTTGAGGCGGTCCCCCCCCCCCCCCTCAACCACCACGCGATCGCAAAGATGGCTCTCCTCAGCTTCGTTACGTCGCAAAACTTTGAGAAGCTCAGTGTTCTCCTACAATGGAAGCTTCTCGTGCTGGCCGCGATCCCCGTTGCTGTGGTGTACTACCTCAGGCGGACGAAAACCACCCCGGGTATCGACATCAAGCAGTACTCTCACTTCCCGCAGCCTGAAGAGGCCGACCCAGTGAGGGGTCATTGGCCGTGGATTGAGAAGTCCGCCGGCCTAGGTGATCCTAGAAGGGCTTTTGGTACGTTTTTGAATGTAGAAAATCAGTGATGAAGAGGTCTCGGCGGCGATGTAGTTGGATCGCGGTGTGGCCTTTCGGGAAATGAGAAACAAGTCGTGCAACGTGCTAATGTTTTGCGACTGTGTAGACGAGATCCTCTACGAACAGGCTGAGAAGCTTGGGTTTCCTCCCGTTCTATTGGTGGACTGGCGCCCGATCGAAAAGTTCCTTATTCTTTTCATCCTCGACAACGAGGTTGCCGAACAGGTCACCAAGCCCTCGAAGCAGTACAGTACTAGTGTACCGAAGCACCCTGCCATCCAGCATCTGGCCCCTCTGGTCGGCGCGCGATCTCTCGTAACAACGGATGTAAGTCCATAACATGGTGCTGCTATACTTGGTTAGTATCGTGAGACTGACAAAAAGCTTGCACTTTAGGGTGAAGAATGGAAGGGACTGCGAAAGAGAATTCTTCCCGGTTTTGCGCCGTCACATCTTCTTGGTCTCGTCAAGGTCATCTTGGACAAGTCGGAGACCTTCATCGAGCTTATGGAGCAGAAGGCCGCCACTGGCGAAGAGTTTACTATCGACGAGTACACCACAAATCTGGCCTTCGATGTTATTGGTGAGTCTGAGAAGACACTCAGAGGACTTGCAACGTATACTCATGGATGACATAAGGCATCGTCACTTTCGACATGGATCTGAACGCTCAAATCGAAGGCAAACAAAGCGAGGTGTTGCTGACATACCGCGCCCTGTCGCAAGCCTTCAACAAGCGTGTACCCGGCAAGAATTGGATGCGTGAATACTTCACCGAGAACGAACGCACTCTCAGACGTCTGGACAAGAAACTCGACGGCATCCTTAAGGAAGAGATTAAGAAGCAGCATAAGGAGCTCCTGGCCGGCGCTGACACTGCATCCCGCAGTGTTGCCACCCTCAGTCTCCAGGGCATCGACGTTCTGACCCCCGAGATCCTCCAACAGACCAGCGACACCCTCCGCGGTTTCCTCTTTGCTGGCCACGACACGACGAGTATCCTTCTGCAATGGTGCTTCTACGAGCTTCACAGACGGCCCCAGTCGGCCAAGGATCTGAAGGATGAGCTTGACGAGGTCTTTGGCCCGGATCAGAGCCCCAAGTCTGTCATTGAGCAACTCAAGGGCCCCGAAGCTGGAAAGCTTCTGGCCCGTCTGCCTTGTAAGTTTAAGATCTGTTCACATCATTTCTATCTCGAGACAGCTAGCTTACAGCCATGCAGACACCGATGCAGTGATCAAGGAAGCCCTGCGCCTGCACCCTCCCGGAACAACCGCCCGCGTCGCGCCCCAGGGATCCGGAACCACCCTGACCCTCCCCAACGGACAAAAGCTGGTCGTCGACGACCTCTGCGTAACCCCGAGAGCCTACATCATCCAGCGCCACCCCAAGATCTTTGGCGAGACCAAGGACGACTTCATGCCCGAGCGGTGGCTCGGCGAGGAGGGCGCCAAGATCCCAGACAGCTGCTTCAGACCCTACGAGAGAGGACCTCGTCGGTGCACCGGATCCGAGCTCGCCAACTTGGAAGTGCGCATCATCCTGGCCTGCATCGCGAGGTACTTTGAGTTTGTCAAGGTCGGGCAGGGCGAGCTGGACCTGGATGAGAAGGGACAACCGCAGCTTGACGAGAAGGGTTTCTACAAGACAAAGTCTGTCATGTTCTCTGTGAGTGAACCAACAGTCCTTGCGATTGATACGAGTTCCTTGTACTGATATTCTTCCCGACAGACTCACTTGGTTACCGCTAAGCCTGTCGACGGCATGAAGGTGAAGGTCCAGATCAAGGGACAATCAGCGTAATCTCTCTCACATGATACCACCACCAATGAACAAAAACGCAGATCCAGGATACGACGACTCGACGGTCTGACGCGTTTATCTAGACACGGCAGGTGGGGGGTATCTGGGGCCGCAGCGCCCCATTTCAAGCTCCATCTGCTCTGTATCATAGACAATGCTTGACCCTGATGACGATATGTTGGATGCGATGAATGTATATAGACGTTAGTGTGTTTGTAACGCCTCTGGAAGAATGCTCGACTGGAAGACCACCGTGTAGCATAAGATATCCATGATCCGCGGCTCATTCCACTGTCGTCAAAGGAAACATGTTCACTAAACAGACGCTCTGGACCAACCTCCTCCGGGCGAACCCGTCATGGGTCCGGCACTTGAAATCACAGCTTGTTTCTCTCGCTCACCATGTGCACTATTACGGAGGGGTTGGAGGGGTAGAGGGGCACTCTGCATAGGTCGTCCGTTGTCGGCGAGCTAGCGTGGGCTAATGCAAGCAAATGGGGTCTGCAACGTTCCCATGTCATGGTCACTGCTTTTATGGAGAGTTATGCAGGCCCGCTCGCTTGTGATAGCGAACTACGTCAATAGCTTACACAAGTTCATTCACACAGTGCTTGCAGGTTGCAGCTGAGGGTCTCGATCATGCATTAATTCACCGTATGTGCTTCAGGCTCATCAACGAGGACAGAATGAGACGTAGACGACATTACCCCTTGTAAGTTTTGCACCCGTTTGATTTGTATTGTACTGGCAGAGTTTGCATGTGGCTCTGCAATCTTAATTGAAGGGGACAATGAATGTTCAGTTGCACTCTCAATCTTTGACCTTGGGGGATGGTAGTAAGTACATATGTCTTCTGCCAGTCCATAATGGAGTAGAGACTTGACAATCCCACAATCAAGTTGATTCTACTCTTCATTCCGACGACCCTCAGAAGTCGCTCGGGACTCCATGTTGTCTCTGGCATCCCCTCATACTTTCCTCCAAGTCGGTGACTTCCATTGGTTATCAATCGTATCCAACAATCTCCGTGATTCAAGTCCTCAGAACCCAGCTCGCAGCCTTTACTCCACAGTCTCAATAGCCAAACCCAACGCCGCCATAGTGTGATCGCCAAAGGCATCGTCCATGGGAACGCATTTGCAGACGCCGTTACCCCAGTTGAAGATGGAAACGCCCTCCTCGTACGGCGGCAGCGGCTCGTCGGACTTGGCCAGACGGTCGTCCTTGTTCCCAAAGATGGCGCCAATAGAAACGCAGCGGCAGAGTCTGTTTCTCCAGGGAAATACACCGGGAGTCTTTGATTTGGTGTCCCTGGGCGAGAGCTGAACTGGCTGGATTTCGAGGCCGTGGTGGTAGTTGCTCGTGGCGTCGTTCTCGCTTAGATTTGAATCGACGGCTTCTTCCTCCTCGGGTAACGTCTTCTTATTCTGTGAGGAAGATGTTGTAAATGGTGTGGTTACCTCTACTTTGGCTGACATTTCCATCTCTTCTGAGATGTCAGAGACGTCAGAGACAGTGGTTGATGAGGCGGATGAAGTAGATGTGATGGTGGTGGGAGTAGGTGAAGTGGATGATATGGTAGGCGTCACCGCAGCGTCAGCGGCATCATTGCCACTGTCATCGCTACTTGCAGTCCGCTTGACGATGATAACGTCCGTCTTGGGGAGCTTCTTGATGGTGACTGAATCTGAGCCGGTGGTGGCGAGCAGATGCTTGAGGTCATCCAAATCTTTATGGAAGAACATGACGTCGCCGAGTTCCACCTGTTTGGTGTTGGTGGTGGTGATACGGCCATCTGCGTGGTCTGCAGCCTTCTCCACTTTATCGAAGAGGTTGTTAAGGAGTAATCCAGCAGGAAGGAGATCCTTGAGCTGCATTGTAGCGGTGGTGGTTGTTTGTCTTGACAAGTGGTGATTTCTTTGGTTTGTTTGACTTCGAAGTCCTTGAGAAGCAGGATGTGACTGAAGCACTGAGTATTATGATGTAGGAACTACGAGTATGATGATGACTGCGAGGCTTTGGAAGGATGAAGACTGGCATCGGAGAAGAAGAGAGGGTCTTATATATCCTGTGCACTGTAAGTAGCCCGTACAGGTTCTCTCCGGAGATACAATGCCATGCCATTCGAAAAGCTAAACAAATGAGGGGCTGAGAATTTCACGATGCTAGAGAACCCGGTCATCCCAGCTTGAGCAAGTTTCCAAGCCTCGAAGGTTGCAGACCACAGGCGGGTGAGGGCACAATGGTTCTCAGGCACGAAGCCATGATGGTCGTATAAGAGTAGGCTTCAGGGTTCGGTCATTAGTATCAAGAACCCCTCAGGACATTGCAGGAAAATCACGTTATTCCCAAGTCTTATACTTCCGTTGATTTCACCACCGTAATCCTCAAGACAGTTTGGTTGTATCATAGTACTAGCAATAGTAAGACTTCAGCACTGTTTTCTCGTGTGATGGATGTCAGTCCAAACTTCCAACCCCAGCGGCAACCCATTTGAAAATGGCTCTGGTATACACGAGGAAGCGTGGAAACCACAAACTCAATTACTTGACTCCTAGGAAGAAAACCGGCTCCATTAGATCTATTCCTCAAGACCTCAAACCTCTAGGCCTTCACCTAATACCCAAATCCCTCAAGACACTCAACAAGCTCCCCCTCCGCAACGCCCCTCATCTCCTCAATCTCCTCCCTCGTCTTCCTTCTCAACATGACAGGATGCTCCAACGCAAAAGGACACGCCAGCGCCTCCAGCCTCCTCAACCCATCCAGCGCAGCCATGCCCTTGATCTCACTAGGCCGCAATGCGCCCCTCTCCTTTAACGCATCATCCCACGCCTGCGCCCTCGTCAGCTGTCCCGCGGCCTCCTGCGGCAGTCTCTCCCGGATCCCGTCAAAGTCGCCCGTCAACATCGCTTTACCGAGCAGACCCCCACTGAGATCCGGGTCCCGGCCCGTTCCGCCGCCCGTGTTGCCGCCGACGTCGCCTAGCGACGTGAAGAATTCGTGGCAGGGGTGGGAGACGAAGGCGAAGTCGAAGTCGAGAATGGAGGTGAGTTTCTTGGTAGTTGGGTCGTAGAGGGTGTTGTTCGTAGCTAGTAGTTGAATCTCAGTAAGCAGGATCGGCTCGATAACGATACCGGACTTGGAGGGGAGCCGCATATAAACTTACTCAGATCCCCGTGAATGAGAGCCAACTTCCCAACATCAACACCAGACCCATCAAGATACCTCTCCAACCCAGACTCCAAGAACCTATCAACACGCTCTCTAACACCATTAGGCCTCCACCCTTCCAGCGCGGGACTCGCATCCGCATCGTCAAGCCGAATGGCCAACCTCGCCTTCCAGAAATCGCTATACCGCTCCCAAGGCCCGCCCTTCACCGTCGTCATCGCACCGCCCACAATCCTTCCCGCTTCATCAATCGAAAGCCCCCCGTGAGACCTCACAGTCTCCGGCAAAGAAACCTTCTGGATCCCCGTGACCACATCCGCAATCTGGCCCAGCATGTCACTCTTCGCCCCGTCATCCATGTCCCGGAAGAGGGTATCGAGCGGCACGCCCTCTTTGAACTCCATCAGACTCCACCCGTAGCTGCTGGTGCCTTCCGCTCCAACCTCCACCCCTGCCTCCGTGTTCTCGGAAGGACGATACGGCCTCCAGTCATACAACGCCGGCACGAGCCCCGCAATCTCGGGCTTATACGAACCCAAACCCTCGCGCGCGAGGTGAATCGCCGCGACCTCGTTCTCGACGCGGGTGTCTTGGACGACGCCTTCTGCTTTTGGGTTCGCGATGCGCATTACCACAGTAGAAGTCCCTTGCCCAGGAGGAGGCTGGGTGTAGGGGCGGCGGCGGTCATGGGGGATGGAGGATGGTGTCAGGGGCGCGGAGAGGGTGATTTTGTAAATGTAGTTGTTGTAGGCGAAGGGGGCTGTTTCGTCGTAGTCTATGGGGGTGATCTCTATGGGCTGGAGAGGGTGTTAGATCGATGTGGATGAGGGAAGGGAGGGGGTGAGGAAGGTCTGACTTTGAGGCCGTAGCTGTGGATGACGCTCTTGACGAGGTCTAGGCGTTCTTGATATCGTTCGTGGTTCATGATGGACGGTGGGCGAGATGAGTTCGAGTTGTGAGATAGGCTGGATGCTTTAGAGTAAGGTGATGGTTCAACCGGTGTCGATACCTTTCGACTGAGGCAACACGAGAATCTCATGGCTTCTTAAGTATATGTCCAGGTAAGATGATACCATCCAATCCTCGTTGCACCCTTGCTGAAAACAAGAACAGTTGACTCATAAATCTTTGAGAGGAAGGAGTTTAATGCTCCTCTCTCATTAACTCTCGTGCTTCTATTGCAAGTGCCAAGGAACCGCAGGAAGCGAAACGATAAAGCAAACGCAAGTCATCATCGAAACCTCTCCCACAGGTGAACAAAACATAGGGCCTTTGCCGCTGAGATGATGCTGAGCTAGGCAAATCGGATCAAGTCCGAGACACTAAACATGTCTACTCCATCAACCGCTGATCTTAGTTCAGACCATGACATGCAGCCGTAGACTCGCCATGATCCCTGCTAGCCCTTTGCTGCCTGGAGGCAGCGTCTCGAAAACGTGCAAAGCACGCGTTTCTGCCTAAGCTGTGCCGTACAGGTGCATGAGATAGCGTTGGGAGTTCTTGAACCCGAGAACTCACTCGGGGGACATTACGATGTGTGCGCCGAACGTCCAATCTGCACGGTGAGAGGAGGAGAGTGATTGAGAGGCGGTGGTGGGCCTGCCCCGTCAAAAGATCGGCTTGAATGTGGAACCTTGCCGGCCCGACCTCGGACACGGAGGGTCCGGGGGCTATCCCTGCCGCGAGCTGCCACAGAAGCACTCAGGGCTTGCACGCTGCGACCTTGATGAGTTAGCACAACCCTAAACCCACCATCCATAGCTGGTTTCGTGGTGTAGTTGGTTATCACGTCAGTCTAACACACTGAAGGTCTCCGGTTCAAGTCCGGGCGAAATCAAACTTTTGCCTTCCGGAGGGCTAATTTGCTCTTTTTCGACCGTAGGATGAACTTTCTTAACCCCCGTTGTTCTGGTTAGACAGCATGGTAGCATACTTTCGATCATCTCATAGCTGGCTAAGTTTAAGTAACTTTTGTGCGTCCTACCTCAGTTAGTGTGTCTCTATCTTCTCTGATTACAGTTGGATATCTTTCACCTCAGCTATCAATCACACCCACAATCCGCCCAACGACGCGATCCCACTCCTCATCCCAGCGTAAGCTTCCTTCCTTAATAGCCCCCGCCTTCAATGTCTTCAGCTCTTCTTTGCCACTCTCACTTAGTAGCCTGATGAGGACTTCAGCCAGCTCAGTGGCCGTCTCAAATCCGCATCCATTCTCGCCCTCCTTGATCAGCTCGCCGAAGCTCTCATACGCAGAGTATGCAGCCACAGGTAGCCCCGAACCAAACATGTCAACCACCTTCATCGGCAAGTCGACACCAGAGCTAGACTTGTGCAGGCAGACACCAAGGTCGGCACAAGAGAGCAGCGTGGCGTACTCGCGGGTTGATAGCCATGCGGTCAGGATGGTGATACCGGGGAGCTTGCCCTCCAGACGGAGGTTCTTGATTTTTTCCTCGTACTCGGCCTTTTGGGGGCCCTTGCCGGTGATGATGGCCAGAATCGGAGGCCGGCCGACGCCATTCTCGGTGACAGCCTCTTCGGGGTGCGCGTAGGCCACCAAGGCGTCTAGTAGGAGACCGAAATCCTCGTCAGGGGTCCACGAAGTGCTACTGACAATGAGGCGAGTGGTCCCGGCGATGATGCTGTCGGCGACATCCTTGGTCTCCTTAAGATGCGAGAGAAAGTCTTGTCGGGCTTTGGTTGATGCGATGGGCTGGAATACCTCGGCAGGCCGGTCGTGCAAGGTGAAGATGGGCTTCTTGTTACTATACGGCTTCTCCTTGAGCTGCCGCGCCATGGCGTCGGTGACAGTGAGGTTGGCCGTGGGGACCACCCTTCCGAAGTACATCTCATACTTCTTGTAGAGCCATACCAGGGGGTTCTTCTGGCTGCGACCGGTGGCCATGATGGACCAGCCATAGTTGTGCCAGTCAATGAGCAAGTGGCTTCCTCTCAGGAGGGACACGAGCAAAGCCAAGTGCAGCGTCGGAATAGAAGGGGGATTCTGCAAAAAGTCAGACTGTGGATTTCGAGAAGTACCGGCTCACTCACCTGAATGACAATCCATCGAGCTGGGGGTGCGGTATATGCCAAAACGTAGAAGATGGAATAGGCTTGCCAGACAACTTTGGCGGGCTTGTTGATGAGAAACGGCAGGGTATTCCACTTGAAGACGGTTGGGAGGGGCGGCAATGGGTACAAAGCCACTCTCTCGTTGCCAACGAGATCCGGATGGCGGGCAGTCTCCTTGTAGCCAACAAGATCAACCCTACCGCCGTGCTTCATGATGCTCATGGCATGATACTGCATGCGAGGGCTACGGCCTATATCGCCGAGGACCAGGATCTGAATGTGGTCATCCTTGGGGTTCTCGGCCGCATGGTAGCGGGTGGGCAGTAGCTTTGTGAGAAAGTTGATGCCGAGGGCAGCGACAAGAGTAGTGCAGATGCCAGCAATGATGGATAACACGAGAGGTATCAACGACATGTTGGCAATATGCGACAGCTCCCCGTTGTCGTGAGTGGTTGAGGTGAGGAATGGGGTGGAGTTTGGAGACAGATCGTCAAAGCCTCAGATGTGGTGGTATCGGTTATGCAAAGTGTCCCGTCCTGTCATCTGAAGTTACAATCTACAGCCTTAGCGCGTGCGCGCATGGAGGGGTCCGAGTTGAAGGCTGAGCGGTGGGGGGAGTATCCGTGAGTATCGTTGAGTATCCTTGAAGAGGGAGGGGAGGGGACACGATGTTGAAGTGTTTTTGGTAGGTAGCAAAAAGGGCCAAATTGCCCAGACTTGCGTGACCTGACGATGGCCTCGTGGAGAACAAGCTGGAATCGTGAGAGGCCTACGAAGCTTCTTGACTAGGCTAGACTCGCTCACCTTCCAAGACTTTTGTCCTCGTTGGCGCCTTCCAACTTGGGCAGGCCTTTTGGGATGTTGCAATGGTGGCGCCAATGAGGGGCCGAAGTGGGCGAGCCATGATTTGATAAGCACGATAACCGCGATAACATCTTGTCACGTGTCGTCAACCGGTAAGGTACGTATCCTTTTGTTCATCTCTTCCATTGTCCCGTCCCCTCTGAATCACTGAATAACCTCAGGTACAATATTCTGAAAACCAAAACAAATAAGGTGGTGAGGTGAGCAGACGGAAGCTTCGTCAATGATCAACCTGCAGCTCCCCTGCGTGTGCCTGGATCACGATTCACCAATTGTCTAAATTAGAAATCTCCGAACTAGACTTTTCGTCACCCAATTAATGGAAAACCAGCTGCTGCACATGCAAAACCGACACAGACCAGCTCAGCCTCAGCACAACAAAAAGAGAGAAGAAAAGACCATCATGCCTGTCGTGGGACTCGCGCCTGTCACCCGGCGACATCTGAACTCCTCTCACAGGCATTGGCTTGGCCCAGAAAACATGTCGCAACGGGGCTGGCGGCGGACACCATTAGCAAGTGTTAGCCATCACACCGCCTTACCCGCGACCATCCCATCAGAGATTGTCCGCCTAGACAAGCCAGGATCGAGGGTATTGCATTGTCTTGCTCTTCGCTGATCCGTACTTTACTGCGTATCCCCTGAACAGCTTTATGCAGCTGCCCAGTGCCCCTCCTGATGGACAATTGGATGGCATCTTTGATGTGTCACCCAGCGAATCACAGACACGACCGCCCTCGTCGACCTGCACCTTACGTACCCGGCGCCCGGCCTCTCCCCACACGGAGAAATCTGCAGGGGTTGACGGCTGGATTCCCCTTTAGGTTCAGGTCCCAGAGGTCCACGGGTGCGAGAGATTCATCTGAAAGACTTGGGACTGAAAGGAGGCAGCACCCGACATGCCATGCATCCCGAGGGTTCAGCCCAAAAAAATAACAACAACAACGCTCCATCATCCATGCTGCTGCTGCTGCTGATGCTGCTGGCCCATCCCGCCTTTTTGACGACCTGCCGTACGGATACCTTACAAGTGGAGGCCTAGGGTGATTGCCTCTGGAAGGTAGCATCGAGGACACTCTTATTGTTCCTCTTCTTCCTCCTCCCCTCTGCTTTCAATCCTTTGCTCCCCCTCCCCGCTCCTCCTTTCAGCCACACTTGGTCTTCTTTCATCTTATATAGATCTCCAAGTCTCAGCATTCGACGACACAAGCGAACCAATCCATTCGTATCTGCCTACCTACTCTCGCCGCTTCCAGCATTGTCTGTGCGAGGCGCCGGCACGTCCGTCGACGATCAAATCTCCCGTCCCCATCCAGCGCTCAGCGTTGAACTGCGGCGCGCAACGTCATTGACGGGGCGACTCCATTCCGGCCTTTTTAGCCTGTGCAGGTCCCCTGAACCACCCTGCACCACCATCAACTGCCAGCTCCAGGTCTTCTTTTCAAGGTACACTGGCCCGAACACACACGCGACTCTTGCTTCATCACCTTCCAGCTCCACGGTTCTGGACGTCCCGCGACACCTCAATTGCGACGCTTTTCGAAATCTCGTACCCGTTGTCGACCCGTCTTCGACACACCCCAGAAAAACTAGTGAATGCGGATAACGTCCGGCCCATGACTCAGGTTAGCACAAGATAGGGGCATCTTGGAATAGATCCCGACGCAACGGGCCCTTGGTGGAGAGGTGAACGAAAACGACCCAACAAAAATACGACAGAGGGGACAATACACAGGCCCTTTTTCTCGCCCATCCCCGCCGATACCGACACCGACAACGAACCCAGTCCCGGGTCCCAGACCGATCGACGACCGACCTCGACAACGCGCGCCGCGGTCAACATGGCCTCGTCCTACGCCTTGCCATCCTCCGCTCTACCACACGCCCATCATCACCACATGCACTCCCACTCCCACTCGCCGCCGTCCCTTCACGCATTGAAGTCGACAATGTCCACCGGCGGGCTGCACTCCCACAGCCAGAGCCAAGACTCGACCAGCAGCAGCCACGCACATAACCACGATCATTCACACGGTCACAATGGCCACGCCCATGGCGGCCACTCACATCACCGAGCGAACTCGAGCCAGTCGTCCATTCCTCGAGAAAGAGCACAACCTCGCTCTCTCGCTTCAATGGACGGCTGGAAGACGGACATCACACCGAGCGGTCGTCAATTGTTGACGCCTACAAATGGTTCCTTTTCGGAAACATTCCAGCCTCTCGACGGCGCCATGACCATAGACGAGCATTCCCACGATCATCACGACCACGATCATTCACACACGCATGACCACGCTCATGGCGATTGCCATGGCCACGACCATCATGGCCATTCAGACGCCCACAGCCACTCCCACTCCCACTCCCACGATCACGCGAAGCCGTCCCTGTTTACGAGGGCCCTCCTCAAGTATACGCCGGCAGTTCCGGTCCTCCACACCATCCTCGTGGAGAAGGACTCGAGAAGAATATTTTACTTCATGACGTGAGTTGGACCACGCAATACCCCATCTTGAGAACATGACTGACATTCTGGGATTTTGCAGTCTCAACTTTGGCTTCATGGCCGTACAAGCGTTCTACGGCTATGTCACCGACTCGCTTGGTCTCCTCAGCGACACGATTCACATGTTTTTCGACTGCTTCGCCCTCTTCGTAGGTCTTTGCGCCGCAGTTACTAGCAAGTGGCCTCAGAGCCAGCGATTTCCCTTTGGGCTTGGAAAGATCGAGACGCTGAGTGGTTTCGCCAACGGTATTTTGCTGATGTAGGTTTTTTCAGCCTGCAGCACGATTCATGGCGCTAACAAATGATAGGCTTCTGAGCGTTGAGATTATTGTAGAAGCCTTTGAGCGAATCTGGGAAGGTCAAGAACTCCACCGATTGAGGGAGCTTCTCATTGTCAGCTTCCTTGGCGGTGTCATCAACCTGCTAGGCCTCTGGGGTTTCGGACACCATCACCACGGCCACGACCACGGTCACGGCCACTCGCACTCGCACGACGACCACGATCACGGGCATGATCACTCCCACGGAAAGAAGCATAGCCACGGGCACTCGCATCATAACGACAACATGGAGGGTATTTTTCTGCATGTTCTGGCCGATACGATGGGAAGTGCCTCAGTAGTGCTGTCGACAATCTTGACGTACTACACGGGCTGGACGTTCTGGGACCCCTTGGCCTCCTGCGCCATTGCCATTCTCATCTTCCTCGCGGCGATTCCGCTCATCAAGTCATCTGCACGCAACCTACTTCTCAACATTCCCGACGACATTGAATACAACCTGCGTAACACGCTCGCGGGGATTCTGCAGCAAAAGGGTGTCGTCAACTACTCGGTGCCCAAGTTTTGGATGGACCACCGGAGCAGCGAGGACTCGGGAGACAAGCTGCAGGGCATCGTGCACGTTGTGGCGGGAAGAGGTGCGAGCCTGGACGAAGTACGGGATCGCGTGCGGGAGTACCTGTTGAAGAACTCAATGGACATTGTGGTCCAAGTCGAAAGAGAGGGCGACGGTAGCTGCTGGTGTGGCGTTGGAAGGTCGACAGGATTGGCCACGACGCCCCTCAAGAGGGCATTTTAGAGAAGCGAACGACCAATGCCCCTGGCGACGATTTTTGAGATACTGGCAGTACAGGACGAACGAGCGAAGCGGGAGTGAGAGTAGAGTGTCTGGTCTATTTTTCTTGCGTTTCTCCTTCATTGACTAGACAGCGGGACAAAAAGCGAAGATGAACCGCATAGAGGCTTGGTGATAGAGAAACCCCCGATTTTGGAGACGGGGTTTGACGCGGTCGGGCTGTTTCTACTTGTTCCGTTTAGGAGTCTCGGAACGTTTACACATCAGGCAACTCACATCACGGAAGGCATTGCGAAACGGCCATTCAAAGAATATCTTTTGTACGAGTAGAAGAGGAAGCAAGCGCATACACATGGTTTTGCGTGAGAGGTGGCAACGGAAAAACAAAGAAGCTTGATACCCTTGAGGCTAAGAGTTGATGTGGCACCTACGTGATGAATTGGGGTGAATCTTGTGAATGTCTGATGTTCCGTCGACCCGAGACGGCCTGTGGAAAGGATGTTTTGCGGTATGTGACGAATCGCAATCATGGCAGCCCCTCCGTCCGCCCGTGTGGGGGGATTGAGCTGTCACTTGATGTGTAAGGCAAAATTGGTACGCGGGGTTTAAACATTGCATGACCAAAGTGGCTGCTGGATGGACTTGGTGGCTGAAGAGAGATACTGCCTGCAGGATCTTGCATTCGAGGTTCGAGGCAGACTTTGAGCAATTGAGCGGTGAGCCGAGATGTTTCTATGAGGGTTGTTGGTCCTTGCGGTTTTTTCCCGCAGTTTTGACATTGACTTTGTTGACTTGAATGAGACGAGATTAAGAAGTAAGACGAGGGGTTTTGTGCGACTTCTGTAACCCGTCTTGGGAATGTGGTCTCACTTTGAGGTCCAGACGTTGGTATTCCTAAGGGAGAGTGTTGGTTTATGCATGCTAGCTGATGATGGCACTGGGAAATCACATGAAAGGAATAAAA